GAGAAGAGGCTAAATGACCTCGATTTTATTATTTTTTTTCCCCTGGAGAAGCCCAGAGGTGAATCTAATTGCAGCTTGAAGGGGAGTTGTAGAAGAGCTGGAGCCAGGCTGTGCTGACAGGTTGGGCACAAGCAGCTGTAGCAAGTTGCAACCAAGAAATCATACCTGAATTTACACAAATATCAAAAACCCCTCCACCAGCTGAGAGTGTAACTGTAGGAATGAGTTGCCCAGCTCTATCCTTGGCTTCAAAATTCAGTGAGACAAGGCCCTGAGCAGCCTGGTCTAACTGCTTTGAGCAGGAGATTGGGCTGGACCCCTCAGAGGTCACTTCCAAACTCAATTTCTCTGAAGTTCTGTTTGAAAGATGTAAAAAAACCATTTTTGCCTGACTTCTAAAATACAAATGTATCAAAAGTGGGTTTGGAATTGTGCACTGTAGTACTGGTGATGAAGTGTCAGTGTGCACATCTTCTACCAGAACTATAAATGAATGAGTTGGCTGTGAGAGTAATTTTTACTGGAGCGAGTGGAAAGACCAGCTGGGAAGTGGGTCCTAAGCAGGGAGGTAAGAGGAATTAGAAAAGGGATTAGCTTCAAATCTCCCTTCCATGGAAGGGAGGCCATAACCAGTGTGGTGATTTCCATGTTTCTTTGTTAAGTCACCGATCAAAATAGCAGAAGGAAGTACAAATAGCATCATCTTAGAAAATAAAGTGGAAAGGCTGTGTTTAGTGGTGGAGATGTTGATGATGACCTCTGCTTCTCTTTGTGGGGGTCACCACTGCTCTGAACAGATTTGAAGTCAAAAATCGACAAGAGCAATCTCCCAAATGCTGACTGGGTTCTTTTGAGGGTCTTTGGTTTGTAATGTGAAAAGTTGAAGCTGTCCTTGCTCTCAGTAAATCAACAAGAGTTCAAAAGCCTCGTTGTTCTTTTAGATCTGCTTAAATCTCAGGGGATCCTTAAGTTACCTGGGGTTCAGTGTCACAGTCAGTGTGAAAGAATTGAACTGCACAGTGTGAACTGCCATGACTGGGGGGGTTCTCAGTGCTGAACCCTCATAATCTGTTGGAATTTAAAATCTGGAGGTGCTAATAAAAGAGCAGTGGGATGGCAGCTGCTGTCCAGTTTTGGTCCTGGTTCTTGAGTGACAATTCAACTGGAATAATTCAAAGGATACTGAGGCACTGGGTGTCATAGCAAGGTTTATGTACAGGGAGAAGATTGAATTCCTACTGCTCTGTTTTGGTTTCCCAGATGAAGACAGGATGAAGTTCCTCATTTTCAGTCAGGTTTTCACACAGGCAGAATTACGAGTGTATCATTAGGTTTTCCCTGCAGTACAGACAGAACTGCTGAGGTGACATGACAAAATATTAGAAATACAGATGAGACAAAACTGGACTTGACACATTTTCCCCTGAGACACTTCTCTGACACCCTGCAAAGTTGCCAAACTCTGCAGAGGTCCTGCCTGGATCAGCATTGCTGTGTTTGCTGGGAGCTGCAGAGACAGGAGGAGTTTTCTAGGGAGTAGTTTGGTGCTTCTTGTCTGTTTTCCAGTAGCCAAACCAAAATGAACATTTTTTTTTAATTTAAAAAAGAATAATTAAGGCAGTGAGTTGCATTTTAGTTGTGACACCACTGTGGTTCCCTGGATCACACACTGGCCTCTGCTGTGATGCTCCATAGGAAGCACAAGGCAAGGACTCGTCGTTGTCAGGAAATGCACAGCATTATTTAACTGCAAATACTGAGAATAGTTGTTTGAAATACATAAAATACAAAATTGGCACCTCAGCTAACTAGTGCAGTTGTGTGTTTGTCACGTGGATACCTGACACACTTTTTGCCATAGAACTGCTTAAACGTGGCTGCTTTGCAAATGTCTGGTTTTAGGAACCTCTTGGTGGCTCTTTTTGATTTCCTGCTCCAAATGGCATCGTCCTATAAAGGCAGGATGGTGGTTAGATGAGGTACACAGAGTTGACAGCTTACAAAACTGCTTCTTTTCTTTCCTTTCCTTTTTGCCTTTTTTTTTTTTTGGTAAGTGGGTTGTCTGGATGAGTTTCTCCTCCAGCAGCCACCCTGTGGTAGCACATTGTGAAACTGCTGTAAACGCTTTAAACTGTAAGTAAAATCCACTTGGGCTTGTTGAGCTCTAAATGTTGGATGAGGTCTCTCCCTGTGGGTGTGCTGTGGTTTTTGTTTAGTTCATTGTATAACTAAAGAATATGCCAAAACCAACTTGATTCTGATCAAATTAGAACACGTTCTGTACTTTGGTTTTGGAAGTAAATGTCATACATTTGCATAAATGCAATTTATTCAGGAATTCCTTTGGTTAGTACACACTCTTTATTCTGCATTTTGGCTGAATTCCAGCTATAAAAATAGGCTTCTGTTGAAAAAACCTGTTTACAAATATGAATCAATTGACAGATGTGGTCTTCTGATAATGCTCAGGTGCTTGCATGCTCCAGCCAGACAGGGATTTGTGAGTACGTCGTGTCTTCTGTACCAACACTGTCCTCTCAGGCTCAGCATGGGAAAGGCAAACTGCACTGGTGGTGCCCTTGGGTTCTCTTGTAGCTCGTGACTGTAAGTTCCAAGTTTGTTTGGCACAGTTATGACCTGTGCAATACCCCTGGTTGGCCAAAGCTCCTGGTTTGGGGCTGCATTTTATGGCTGGTTTTTTCCCCACCTTGATCAACGTTTGAGAGCCTCAAATCCGGGCTCTGCTTTGAAACCTGTGCTTTGCTGTCACCCAGGTCAGTGAGCTGCCCTTGCCTTCAGGTGCCACAGGGAGATGATGCATCCAGAGGGTGCAGCAGTGTAAGAAGGGAGATGTTTTAATACATGTGCCTACATGGAATATTGAAGGAATTGTCGAGTACATGTTTTCTGCCTCTCCATATTTGTAGTACTTGTATTAAGTTGTGAAGATCCTACCCATCCACCTTCTCCCCATCCTCACCCTGGTCTGGCACTGTAGGACTCAGGTTGCTCAGTGTTCTGTACAAGGATTTTTCAGTGGGATGAAGGAACGAGCACCTAAAGCGATGTCTGGTTGTTCCCACATTTTTCTTGAGTTGAAATAAGTTTGGCCTGAAAATATGGAAGGTAAATTTTTCAGTCATGAAAGACATTGGACAGGTGACTAAAATTTACATCTGTCTCTGTGTCTAACAGATGTTATTGTTCACCTGCTCACAGGGACTTCTACTTAATCTTTGGCTGCTGTCTTTGCATACACTTGAGGAGTGTTGTCGTTATTGCTGATTAACTGAAATGCTTAGAAAATAGTTTTATTACCAAAACAGCCGAGACCTCTTTCCACTGTCACTAGAACAATATAAACACAAAATACATCCTCCTGGAAAAAGGAAAGAACCGAGTTGTTACTGAAGATACTAAAAAACTCCCCAACCCAACCCAGAAACGGGTCCACTTTAACTTCCTCGCTGAAATGCGAGCGCAGTTTTTTGGCACAGATTCTGTTCCTAATTTAGTGCAGGGAGCGTGTTTCAGAAATAGGTCGGCTGCTAAACGCGGCCACGGTCCGTGCTGAGGAGTGAGACAGAGAGAAAAGGAAGGTCACTGTGGATTCTTTCTCTCTCTCCTGATCCTTGGGTGTGTATTGTAGGGAAGAAGAATCACTGCAGTGCGTGTGGCAAGGGACACAGTGAAAATCAAATGCTGCCTTTGTTCTAGAAACATCCTTAGATTCGTTTTAAGAAATAAAAGCCAAAACACAGGAGAGTTCATGTTTTCAAGGCTACTCCACAGCTGAGTGTTCCTTCCAATTCTTACATCACTTTTATGTTTAATATATTTTTCCAGAGAAATGAGCACTTTTTATTTACAGCCTATCTCGCATTCGTAGCTCATTTCTCACCTCTGTTCCAGCATGCTCTTGTTTCCTTTCTGTGTAAAACCAGATCTACCTAGAAACACTTAAAAAAACCCAAACCAAACCCAAAACCCAACATTTTGTGAGGTTTGTTTCTGGGTATAGTGTCGTTGGAAAGTCCTTTTCGTCGTGTGGGAGGTGTGTAAATGTCATTGTGGGTTTAGTGTAGTCTGACAGCTTAAGAATGAGGAGATAGTAAAGTTACTTGAACTGTAGTTTTATAGATGCTTTTGTTGAAAGAAAATTAAGTTTCTTGTTTGCTCAATCTGTTTATTTACTGAGAAGTTAGAAGCAGCTTGTCATGTTTAATTGGATTCAGTTCTAAATGCTGAGAACAGGGATGTAGAAAGGAGAATACTTAAAGGTGCATGCATTGTGGTTTAAATTTCAAATTTCTAAACAATTGCACGTTGTTAATTTATTGTTAGTCATTAAATTTGGGCATGTAATCTCTGGCAATATATGAAAATGGGCAGTTTATTGAAATTGGGTCTTAAATTCAGCTCTGAAAAAAAGATACTTGAATGTAGTACTACAGCAGCAATATACTCTGTAAATGAGCAGAGTTAGTTTGATATATGTTTAATTTAATAGGTATTTTAAGAGAAAAGAAATCTCTTAGACCAACCCTATGAAAATGAGTAGACCTCAAATTGGCCAACATTTATGCTCCTGATTAATTTTGCTATCATGGACCTACTTGTTCATTTGCTGAAGCTGTTCTTTGGCATCATAAAATAATGGGCTTTTGTCTTCAAAACAAACCAGCTTTGGGGGCTGGTGCAGGATCAGGGTGAACCTCAAGAAATTTGGAGACAACACATAAGGTGCCCTTGTTAGAAAGGATTTCATTTGTCTGTATTCCTTTCCAGATGTCAGAGTTGCTGACTTGGGGATCTCTTTCTGGTCACGTTGATCTGTCTGTGATCTGTAAATTGGAGATGGTTGTGGGTAATTACATAAGATACCGTAGCTTTTAAATTCTAAATGAGCTTAGGTGGTACGTGCAAGTTATGCAGAAAGTCTTACATTGTGTAAACAAGTGGCTCATATATTTGTGTGTTTGTTTTTTTTTATTTTCCAGCTGTACTTTCAGGTTTCCCAGCACAAACATCAAGATAACATTCACAGCTCTGTCCAATGAAAAGAGAGAAAAACAGGAGGCCCCAGAGTCCCCAGTGAAGCCTGTGCAACCCCAGATCTCTCCCTTAACAATAAACATTCCAGACAACATGGCTCACCTGATCAGCCCTCTCCCTTCTCCCACGGGAACTATCAGGTATTTAAACCCTGCAGGTGGGATGCAGGGCCATGGACAGGCTCAGCACAGCTTCCTCATTCAGTATTTTGCTTTTGAGGTCAAAGTTTGGTTGAAGCTCAGTGTTACCTGCCCTGGAGAAACCACCTTTCTGCTGACTAATAACACAGTTGCATGAACAGTCTGTGATATTCTGATTTAACAAGTTAAATGTGTAACAGTCTGCTCGGGAGCTTGGTATTCTTAGAACAGTAAGACAGCAGATCTTTTTCTTGCATTCCAGCTGATTAAGATTGCTTTTTGCTCTTGCATGCTTATGGCAACACTTCAAATAAATTTAAATCACACCATTTTTAAACATTCTGATCTGTCACTGTTGCCCCAAAGTTCATCACTGGAACAAATGGGGGTTTGGGTTATCATTAGTGTGGAAAACGGACTGATCTCTTACTCCAGGAGCTTTGTTATTGATTAGTCACTGCTGGGAGTAAACAGGCATTTTACTTAAAAGCCAGAGTGAGATGCAGGCTCTGGACAGTGCTCCAGGGGAGTGGGATCTGGGATTTTCCTTGCCCTGCAGCTTCAGTTGGTAATTGTAGCCATTGACCGACCTGTTACTTGGGACCAAACTCAACTAACACAAGCAACCCGTCCCTACAAAGCAGTAAAATCAGTTCAGATAGAATTGTTGAAATTCCTGGGAAGTTCAGGAGCAAAACTTCCATGTCAAGGCACTGAAAGCTGGTTCAGAGTCACGCACGTGCCTTTGAAAGCGTTTTTTTTGTCCCCTCTCACTTCCTGTGTCTTCACTGGAGCAAAGGACTGTTCGTGCTTGCTTTTTAAAAATGTACAACTTGTTAATGAAATTTGAATGTAAGGATAATTGAGTTCTTTCATGCTTGCCAAGATCTTGATCTCAATATTGGAGTGTTTAATGACATCTGTATA